CAAGGACTGGTGCCGGAATGGAAGGAGATTGCGCTGGAAGCGGCGATGGCCCACAACATCACGCTCAACTATGGAGGAGTGACACCCTCGATGTCCGTGTTTGGAGTGCTTCCCCGCGGTTTCTATGAGGAAGACAGCACAGGTGTTCTGGCGACAGCAGGGGCGCTACAGACAGACCTGTCTGTCTTTGAGCGAGCCATGAGGATTCGTCAGACAGCACTCGCATCTACACATCGAGCCATCATTGAGGACCGGGTGGCTCGAGCTTCGAGAACGAGACCGCATCCCTGGGACGAGTGAAGTGGAATACTACCGGGACGCCGGGGGAGTTGACATCGGATGGAGAGGACCAGCACTTCTGCTACGCCTCGATGCTGATGAAGGCACAGCCGTAGTGCAGTACCAAGGAAGACCCTATCTGGTATCACTCAGGCATGTGCGAGAGCACCGCGGCATCTATGGGTACACGCAGGCAGAGGAAGCTGTGGTGAGTCTCATGAAGCATGCGGAGAACCTCGCACCCTACCGCGTGCAGCTGATGGGACATCTGCGTAAGAGGAGTCCACTTGGAGAACAATGGCATCAAGTCCCGAAGGACCTGCAGGAACGAGAGGCTTTCAGCCAAGCAGTGGAGCTCTCCAAGGCTCTCACTACGAGGACACTTGGCGGCGTCATGTTCGGCAAGGCCATCAGGAGTCTGAAGCCCCCAGCCGAAACCACAGGAATACTGATCACCGATCCAAGGAGCACGAGAATATTCACTTCAGGAGTATCACAGCTCTAACTACCTCAAGATGAAGAAGGTGAGTGGATTCCTGAAGGAGGAGACGTGCCTCATCTACCTTTTCTACTACAAGCTTGAGACTCCAGAAGAGCCAGCAAGTGAGGAGATCCGCAGGAACACTGTTGTCGACATGGATGTCAATGTGGACATGCAGATCGATCAGGAAGGCGAAAACAGGAAGAGAGATAGTCCAGAGACACGGACTGTCGTTCTCGCGCCAGAGAAGAAACGGACGAGGTTTGAGTACGCCACTCAGATCATGGAACAAGATCTGCAGTTCCTGCTCGCCTACCGACACATCGCGAACCACAAGCTCTGTGTGACAATGGATTTTCCCGATGTGTGGTCCATACACCTTGGCCTCACCAAGAACGACGGAGAAGAAGAACTCAAGAAGCTGGAGGAGAAGCGGCAGGACGAGGTAGCGAGAATGGCGCAACTGCTCTTCCACGTGCAGTGTAAGATTGAAGGAAAAGCCCTCGCAGACTTGAGCACGGGTGAGATCTTCAAGGTCGACACAGAGGTCGACATAATTGACCACGATGGCGTCGTTGAAGTATGGCCCGATGTCGAGGCAGCAGACCTGAAGGAAATAGAACAATTCGTGAATGAAGGAGCGTTCACAAAGATTCATCGGTCTGCGTGGACAGATGATATGGTATTCGTGGATGCCATATGGGTCCGGAAGTACAAACGGTTGAGCGACCGGAAGCGCATCGTCAAGAGCAGGATGTGCGCTCGAGGGTTTCTGGACAAACAGAAGGATCAACTGGCGACGAGATCAACCACGGCGACTCGACTATCACAACGGCTTCTACTAAGTCAGGCAGCGATGAACGGATTCGAGCTCGAGTCACTGGACGTTGCTGGTGCCTTCCTCAAAGGTTTTACCTTTGAGAAGATCCATCGACAGAAAGGAATCACTACGCCTACGAGGAAAGTAGTGATCTTTCCACCGGCAAATGTCTGGAGACACCTGGCCAGACTCTCCAAGGATCTAGCAGTCGACCCACATCGCATAGTCGACTACGGACTGCTGTGCAACAAGCCAGTCTATGGGCTGAACGATGCTCCCCTGGCCTGGCAGCTGTGTTTGCACGAGTACTTGGAGCAGATCGGTGGAGCAGCGTCGCAACTGGACGAGAACACGTTTATCTGGAAGCTCCACGGCACTATGGTCGCCATTGCCACCACACATGTGGATGACCTGGCAGTCGCATCAGATAAGGATTGGCTACGCGAGTTCTACCAGGGGCTCCTTACCCGGTTCGGAAAAGTGACACGTCAGGTTCTACCCTTCGCACATTGTGGAGCACTCTACGAGCAGATCGAGGACGGCTACAAGGTCAGCCAAAAGGAGTTCTGCAAGAAGATCAAACCAGTCGAGGTGCCAAAGAAGCCAGATCAGCAACCGCTCACAGCAGAGGAATTGACGAGTTTCCGCTCAGCTTTGGGAGCATTGTTGTGGCTGACAGCCACAAGGCTTGACCTGATCGCAGACGTATCAGTGCTGCAATCATGTGTCACCACGGCTCAAATCAAGCACCTGCACATGGTTAATGCAGTAGTGAAGAAGGCGCAACTGCAGCAGAACGTGGACCTCGGTCTCTACTACAGGAAGTTCAGGACTAATAGACAGAGGTTGGCATGTATTCACGACGCGTCAAGCGCCAGCAAGGACAGATCATATGCACAAGAAGGAGTACTGGTGCTGCTAGTGGACGACTACATCGCGACCGGTGAGTTCTGGAAGCACGACGGCTATCAGAACACGTGTACGGACGACACCGTAGCCTACCACGGGGGAGTGGCACATGTACTGTATTCGCATGGATCCAAAGCCAAGAGGATCAGCTACAGTACGTCTCATGCAGAGACCCTGGCAGGCATCGGAGGCCTTGAAGCTGCGACTTTGGTGGCCCTACGGATGGGAGAGATGTTGCACGAGGCAACCAAGCCTACGCTACACCAGATGATCAACATGCAGGAGAAAGGCATCGACAACTGCCCCATCGACAGCTACACAGACTGCCGCGACCTGTACGAACTGGTCACAGGCGAGAAGTCCATGCCACAGGACAAGACGCAACGGCTATACATCATGGCCCTCAAGGAAGCCAGATGCACAGGCAGACTGAGGATGTGGAGCCTCATTCCAACAGAGTGCATGACAGCAGACGATTTGACAAAGCCCATGACGTCAAAGTGTTTGAACGCACTGTTGAGTACAGGAATGCTGGAATTTTGGAACCAGCCGGAACACCCGGTAGAATCAAAGATTCTGCCACTCGTCAAGGACCTGGAGGAGAGCGACCTGATGCAGAACGACAAGACGCTCATCACGAAAGCCAGCACAGTGGCTACGTCGGCTATGGTAGCGGCTACATTAGCCCATGGACCTATCAAGAAGGTCTTCTTCATGGCTTGGATGGTGAGCACAGCACAGGCTGTGGAAGACGAGAAGGCGGACGTGTATGACACCACGGACTACACTCTGGTCTTGGTTGTCAGCATCACGCTCATGGTGATCATCACGGAGAGAGTGGTGAACGAGATCCTCAAGTGCTGCAAGATCCGCAGCAAACCGAAGACGAACAAGACGACGCAGACCGATGCAGACAGAGATGATACGCACCGACTCAACTCCGAGATCACAAGGCTGGAGTTGGAGAACGAGCGAGTACGTGAAGCCCTGAGAGGACGTGAGAGGAATCTGGCTGAGTTGCGGAATCAGATCCGCGAGCTTAGGCAGCAAGCGCCAGGTTCAACGTATCCAGAAGAGATACACATGACCCAATATGGGTCGTGTTACCACTTAGGCGCGTGTCACCACGCCAGAGGGGCGGTCAAGACCCTCCTGAGGTGTAGAGTATGCACCAATTCCATATCCCGACCGAGCTCTGGAAGGTAACCGGAGTGAAGTCATTTGCACTGCGCATCCCGCTAGGCCTTGGGTCAAAAGTTAGTTCTGAGTGGAGGAAAGCTCGATTCTTTTTTGCCACATGCTTTTGTTCAGAAGGAAGCGAAGAGGTGCCACAGCCTATGTCTGACGACTAAGACATTTTAGGTGGGCACCATCCAAGCTAAACCAATGAGATCCGCGGTTGGGAGCCTGTTGACACACCCTGTAAGGTGAAAAAAGAGCATGGAATCCACAAAGAGATTCTTGTGATCCTCTGAACCTGAAAAAGACATGTAAACTTGACACTGTGGCGTGAAGCGCCAACCAGTGGACTCCTTTTTTGGTGGGTTCCCTGTTCATAGCGCTTGGGTCACTGTGCAACTGGGTGAATGTCCTACATAAACCAACTTGTTCGACGCAGCCATGTCGAATGGATCCGTATTAGCAAACCCATGGCCTGTTTGGACCACGTTGGTTGCTGGTGTCCCCTTGCGTCATATCTGCTTAGTTTGAGATAGTATGAACGTGGAGGTATGTTGCCTATCTTCTATGTCATAGCTATGTTTGTCAATTGATTTGTTTATCCACACATATAGCTATGACAAATATTATTAATTCTATCTTGAGCTAAGCAGTTGTGACAAAAGGGGCACCAGCCAACGATGCATCTCTGCATCGCTGTTTATTATTACTTTCTGTTTTGTCATTACTAGCACTTATCATCTTCATGCCTATATTCTCTATCGGGGCCTGGCTACTTTCATCTAGAACCAGAACGCTTCCAGAAACACAGATGTCGACAGTTCCTTGCAACGTGGGCCCTCTAAAAGAAAGCCTCACGGGGCCTGTCATTGAAGTACAGCCATGTATGTGACATGGTCACGTTGTCGACACTATGATCTGTCACGCAGCATACTGGGATTCCTGGAGGGCCAGCAAGCTGCAGTTTATAAACATCGCATACGGCATCCACAAGCTACTGCGGAACTGGTTCAATCAGCTTTTCAGCTTTTCTTTTGCTCAGCTTTACTGCACAATTCCCTTTGCATGTTGTTCATGGTTGCGGACAGTTTTGGGGGAGGATTAGAGCCAGTTTCCGTGCATGACCAAGGGAATCGCAATGAAAGCGAAGCATTCATAAAAATGGCCCGCCTTGGTATCACGGAAAGGGCTAGCACTGCTTTCGCTGACTATTTGGGCATTTTTGAGGGTACCACCATTTTTGGGGGTCTTGTCGGAGGAGCAAAGGGACCCCCTTGTTGGGGCTGCCCCATGAGACCATTGCGACTCGTTTCGACTTCCACGGTTTCGCAGGTGGTAAAGACTCAAGTGCAGTCTCTTGGCATCATTATGCGCATGAAATGCCATGGGCTGGCAAAGTTGTCCCTTTTGGGGTTCCCGAGTGGACTCCCCCTGGTTTTGTTGAAAGCCGCAAATTTAGTGCGCGACCGCTGGGTCAAGAGACCTGGAGCGGACGGGGGATGTCTGGTGAGTGTCCTTGCCTGAAAGGGATTATTGGGCACTTTGTTTGGAGCGTTGCCAGACATGCGCGGGCTTCGTGGTTTACTGGAATGGCATGGTGACTTGCCTCCTCTGTGAAGATCTTGTTGGAAAGCGCGAGTTCGGAGATTTCTTGGCGAGCGGTCCCCTGCATCCAGCAGAACCGGTGGCTGGTCAGCCCGCTTCAGTGTTTGGCTTTAGACGCTTTGAGAATGTCCCCCAGATTTCGAGACCCGACCATACCCACTACAGTCTTTCACGTATTGAACGCAAGGAATAGCATGATGATGCTTCGGGCAACTGGCCACATTGGGTGGCAAGACATGGTTCTGGGCAACCTTACAAGGGGGATTTTAACGATCTTGCCCACGGTGCAGGTGCTTTTGTCAGGCGCTTTGCAAGTCCCCAGCTACTTGCCTGGGGGAGCACCGATTCCTGGGCTGCGCCAGTTGAGGCGGTGCAGCGTCCACCAAGGTCGCAGGGCGACAAGTGGCAGCTTGTTGGTTGCGGGACCCTTGGCTTTTGGTCTCTTGTGTGCGCCGGTTATGAGGTCGTACTGTGCCGTTGTCTGGGGCTCCGCTCCGATGGATAATGATATCTTGCTCAATGAGGCTGCGCGGCCTGCTATTGGGCATGCGCATGGACGCCCTTCGGGTAATCGGTCTTTGTGCAGCCGTCACTACGTTCAGTGACTTTGGCGGTTTTGTGGTGTCCGTACCGCCAAGGTCCAGTGGGCAGCAGATGTGCTTGTAAGACCTCCACTTTGGAGGCTGCACTGCTGCTGCCCCTATGGGGCTGTGCATGGTCGCCTATGACTACACTCCTGATAAGCAGCACGGGCAGCATCCCATGGAACTGTACAGCGATTTCTGGGCACTCTGGCTTGGGTGGAGAAGTCCACCTAGGCGATTGGGCTTCGCTGCTTCTGTCACTTCTTGGATTGGGGAAGTGGTGTCTTCGTTGGCTCCTCTTGGGATGCTTTAGGATTCTTACTTGCTCTTCCCCGGCGCTGTGATGAACGTTTCGTTGCTGCTGGAAGTCCTGTATGGCGGCATTTGTTTGCAGTAGTGGCATTTTGTGCTGGCATAGTTTGTCTTTAGAATCGCCTTTGCCCGAACAGCAATTCGGGGCGCGCAGCCCATCGGCTTGCTTCGCCGGGCTGCGACCCTAAGAACCGCAGGCCAGAACATCTCGACATTGTCCGCCTTTCGCAGACGCAGGTGCTTTTTCCGGGTGGTTCCTTTTTTGTAGGCTGGCGAATGGGTGCTGCATCACGAAATTCCTATCTGGGAATGTGTGGAGGCTTCAACTGCAACGAAAGTCAACTTATTGATCGAAGCCAACCTTTGGACCTGTTGGCCTTCCAATGTTGGCCTATGTTATTCAGAGTTCCACAAAGGTCAGCCTTTCATTTCCAGATCCTTTGGGTACGTGAGTTAAAGAGGCCATGGGGATGGGTTGCCTGGTTTGGGCACCAGGACCAACGTGGGCAGCGTGTCCATGCGCGAGGTGGCCGCTCGTGTGTGGGCGCAAGACGGTCTCCTGGGCTTCTGGGCAGGCGCGTGGAGGGTGCACGGGGATCGAGCAGGGAAAAGCTTGTTGTTGTCAGACCTCGGTCCGAACTCCTGCGTGATTAGTGGGGTCCCATTTCGGAGGAGCTCCTTCGTTTCACTGTTTGGGGGAAGCCTTGTACAAATCCAGGTTGGTTAATCCGAGGTTGACGCGATAGGGAAAGCCTCGATCTTGCGGCTGCCACATCATCAAGGGTGGGGCGCACACGCTCTGGAGAACCAACATATAAGGAATTCCGCAGACCGTCCCCCAAGCCGGACATCTCGAATTATCTCGATGCACATTGGGGGTTGGTCATCCCTCCGCAAAAGGTCGGCGATGGAGTTCACGAAAGCGTTGAACATTTCGGCAAAGATCTGCGTTGGGGCGTTGGGTTCTTGGAGGTATGCTTGTGCACTTACATATTCGCAAACCCCACACCATTGTAGACATGGAGAGCACCTGCACTTGAATCCTTGATTCCCTCCCTGTGCTGTGGAATGGTGCGAGAGCTATTTTGGAGCAAGTTTCACGAAGGATCCGCGCAAAGCCGGTGAAAACGCATGCAAGGTCCGAACGATTGGCCCAGCCCGGGGCAGTCCGGGGCGAATGATAGTGACTGCTTTCAGTTATTGCCTGCATCTCTTGAAAGTTAATAGTTCCCACTCCAAAAAGAAAAAAGTGCTTTCTTCCATGCTGGAGTGATAATTTTCACTCCGTGTTAAAAATGCCCGTTCGGGTAGTTCCGACTGCTCAGGCATCCGTTCGGACCCGTTCGGAACCCGTTCGAAACCCGTTCGAAACCCGTTCGAACCCGTTCGAACCCGTTCGGACCCGTTCGGACCCGTTCGGAGGTACGTAAAACAATACGCCAACATTACGCAATAAGCCTTTGATAATTTGTGTGCAGTGCTGATTTATGAACACTTCGATGGTAGTGAAAATATCCGTTCAAGAGTAGAAATACCCGTTCGAAAGTGGAAATACCCGTGTCCTCAGGCCAAAAAGTACTTTTTTCAATTTTGGAGTAGGAATACTTAACTTCCAGGAGATCCAGGTGCCGCTGCAAGCCGGACAGCGCGAGTGATCTGCTCGGAGTGGTTACTGTGTTGGCAAGTGTTACTGCGGCAACCAAAATGATCCAGAGCACACGTTGCTAACAAAAGGGCGTGCCGATGGAGTCGCGAAAGATTCGCGAAAGCCTTTTTTTTGCGAAGATGACGTTTCCCGGAAATTGGGAAATTGACCAAGTGCTTCCTGGAATTTATGTTGATCCAGGAGGGCAGTGAATTTAATTGTTTCCACTTACATGAAGTGGCTACAACAGAAGAACGGGAGGGTGTTCCAGATTTTCACTGCATATTGCACGGCTCAAACTGCCGGGACTAATTGAGTGCCAGCGCCCCGGACGATTGACAATGAAGCCTCTCCCGCACACACACACACACAGATGGCCATTTTGGGTGGGATCTCCCCTCTGTCAATTGTTCAGGCCTTGGTTGGTCCAACAAATCCACCAAAGGTCCAATAAAATTATTTCCTTATGGTGGCCAGTTAGGATCTCGTTTGCACCCAGTTTCAGTTGTGTTTGGTCACACAAGCCAAAGAACAAGGCTAGCCGTAGCATGTTCACGGGGCAGGACCACATATGAAACGCATGATGAAAAAGGTCAAAACAAACGGCGACATCAGAGGCTTATCCTTGGCTTATCCCATGTTTCTCCAGTAGGCAGAAACATCAGCAAGCGCAAATGATGAAATTCAACGACTGAGGCCTGCGCCCGAACGTGGCGCGTACCTTCCTGGTGAACGCGGCGGAGCTGGGCACCTATGACGAGGCCAAGACCCGCCTGGTGCCGCACCTCGGGGAGGGCTTGCTGGCGCACGCCCCTCGACCAGCGGAGATCCACGTGCTTGAATGCCGCGACCGGTCTGTCAATGCTTAGTGAAGAAAAAAAGCCAATGATTAGTGGAGAGAAAAGGCGCATTGGTTGTGTTGAACCCCAATGTTTGTTGCTTGTTCATGCAAAGCCCGATCCTTTGCGGCCCATTCGATATTGGACCTGTTCCTGGTGATTTTGGTTGGTTTTCTTGCTTTTTTTGCCCCGACGGGAAACGGGTGGAGGGTGCGTGGTGTCGGTAGGCGTGTTGCAGGGTCGGGCCAACTCCTTGAGACACGTCTAAGCGACTAGTGTTCAAGCATCTTTGTTTGCTTCCCTTTGTCAAGAACCAGGGTATTTAAATTTGTCTACAAGGGCCAAAACCGTTGAAATGGGGTGGGGTACTTAAACCAAACCAAGACATGATCATCGGCTGAAGCGAATATGTGTTTGAGCATGTCTTTTTCAAGGGTACCCTTTTTGGAGCTTGGTTGAAAAGGACACTAAAAGGAAAACCACAATTTTGGGTGTCGCACTATGTTTACCCATATACCCAAATAGGAATTTGACCGGGCTCCGAAATCTCAGACCCCCAGTGTCAGGGGGGGGGCCCTTTATTAATCAAGTTCCAACATTAAGGTGAATTACAGCAATTGTTCACCAGGCTTGAAATCGTGCTGCCTGGATCTGAGCCGTGTGAAAAGCCCGCAATAATTAACGAGCCCGCGGCGCAGGTGGCAAATCTGCACCATTAAGGCTGCGCAAAAGTGTTCATGCACACATGCATTCCCTCCTTTTTGTTTACCATAGTTGTTCCTCCATTTGTTCCCTCCGTGTTTGTTGTTTTCACTCCATTTAGCCCTTTGTAAATATGCAGGTGGGAGCTTCGGGCGTGGCGGGCTTCACTAGCGCCTGCGTGTCGACTCCCGCGGACGTGGTGAAGACGCGGCTCATGAACGCGGCGGGAGGGCAGAAGCAATACCGAGGCCAGGGATACGTCGTTAAACAAAGGTGTCTGAGGGATGGCTGCACGAGTGCAGCCACATGAAAACGTAGCATTCCTGGGACTAAAAGTTGTTGGTCTCCTCTTGGAGGTGTGCCAACCTTGTCCCAGGTGTCCAAAGGACGCTGCAGTGGATTCCACCCTTGAAGTCCCTCTTTGGATAGTGGGTTCCTCACAAATAAAAATGCGGAGGAGTGCGGAGTGCGCATTTGAAGGTCATATACTGGTAGAGCAAGGGGAGCCATTGCAGCGTACCTGGTGACTATAATATGAGGGCCCATTGAAGACCATAAAACGTCACAACCTTCACTAAGTCCCTTTTGTTTGGTGGGATATCTGGTATTTCCTTTGGCCGCAACTCAGCGACTCCAGGCATGGTGCACGCCTTCAGTCGAATCCTGGTAGATGAGGGAGCTGCTGCTCTTTACAAGGGCTTTCTGCCAATCTGCGTGAGATGCTCTGCTCAAGTGATTGAGGGTAGCATTCATCCGCATTGAGTTGTATTTGGGGAGGGCTGCGGGAATGGGTCAACACAGTTACAAATTCACTTCCCAGGGATTTGGAGGAAACAGGCAAGGGAGAAGCCACTGCTTGTAACCCTTGCTCACCCACACCCGGGGTCATTGCACCCGAGGAAAGCTGATTTGGTGCGCAGCATTCTTCGTGAGTTACGAGCAGATTCGAGCCGCGATCAATGCCTCAAAGCCTGTTCAGTGACTGCTGTGCGCGCTTTCACTGCATCACTTTGCGCAAAATGGCGCTGCAACAAAGCAGAACACGCAACTCAACTCAAATTAGGTACCTCAGCTGTGTCCAAAATGCTTGCTGGAATGCAGACAGGTCTCACCGCCTTTTCAGCAGGCACGTGTTGAGGAATCTGGAGGCATCACGTTGCGTTTCAGGTTGGATCGTGGGCCAAGCTCGCTTGACATTCCTTGACGTTTCTGCGAAAGATGCATGGCGCATTCCCATCTCGCTTTGTGACCTTCACGAGCGCGTTGAGCACTACAACTTTCAGTCCAGCTTGTCTTGTCCGAAGCTGACCTTGTTAGTTGCGGGCTTCCCGATTCTATCTTGATCTTGGTCATTCTTGGTCATTTTTCAGGTCTTCAGGACAGCAAGCGCTGAATGCTTCATTTGCACAAGATTCCGAGGGGCTTTGGCCTTCCGGCGGACAAACCTAGGTTGCAGTTGAAGTGTTCCACACAAAACCCTGCGATGTTCAGGGCAGGGGACGCTGACTTAGGTACAGGATAGCCATTGAACCATTGCGGCTGGCTTCAAAGGGAAACCGAAAGGAAAACACCCATGGAGTCTACCATTTTGAGACAAACCCATCAGAAACCCTTTCGGTTTCCCTTCAATCAAAAGAGCGCCTCACTCCGGGCGTATCTCAGACCTGGCTCGATCCGCTCGGCTCCAGCAAGCGGTCCGGGGGAAGGCTCGGACGGCGGACGGCGGGCGAGACAAGGCGCGCGGCAAGCGCTCGGGGCCGAGACATCGCTTTCGCGCGGCGCGCGCGAGATGGACACCTTGCGACTTGTTTGAGTCACTGCGTACAGAACAGGTCTTCCATTTGGTCACTGTTTGAGGCTCTGAACATTGTTGTTTTGCAAGTTTCAGATGTTGAGCGGCAAAATATGAAATGAGCGGAAACTTGATTTGGCATGCTTTGGCAAGCTTTCTCCCCGAAAATGAGAGAAATCGGCGGGAATTGAGCGGAAATCAGCGGGACATGAGCGGAGATGCGCAGAGGCACACCGGAGCCATTTTTCATTTGAGCGTGTGTGTGTGTGTGTGAATTGAGCGGAAATCAGCGGGACATGAGCGGAGATGTGCAGAGGCACACCGGAGCCATTTTTCATTTGAGCGTGTGTGTGTGTGTGTGTGTGTGTGTGTGTGTGTGTGTGTGTGTGTGTGTGTGTGTGTGTGTGTGTGTGTGTGTGTGTGTGTGTGTGTGTGTGTGTGTGTGTGTGTGTGTGTGTGTGTGTGTGTGTGTGTGTGTGTGTGTGTGTGTGTGTGTGTGTGTGTGTGTGTGTGTGTGTGTGTGTGTGTGTGTGTGTGTGTGTGTGTGTGTGTGTGTGTGTGTGTGTGTGTGTGTGTGTGTGTGTGTGTGTGTGTCTGTGTCTGTGTCTGTGTCTGTGTCTGTGTCTGTGTCTGTGTCTGTGTCTGTGTCTGTGTCTGTGTCTGTGTGTCTGTGTCTGTCTGTGTGTGTGTGTGTGTCTGTGTCTGTCTGTGTGTCTGTGTGTCTGTGTGTCTGTGTGTCTGTGTGTGTCTGTGTGTGTCTGTGTGTGTCTGTGTGTGTGTCTGTGTGTGTCTGTGTGTGTCTGTGTGTGTCTGTGTGTGTCTGTGTGTGTTTGTGTGTGTTTTTTCTGATTGAGCGTTCTTGGGCCAAATGAGCGTTTGTTTTTGCTCGAAGCGTGAAAATGCAGAAAACAGTGCCCAGGGAAGACCTAGGATATACATATAATTACATATATGTATATGATATTTTTCACTACGAAATTCATGTTGCAACATTACTTAGTCTATTTGTTGACCAGGTGAGCAAACGAGTTGGAAACGCATGGTCATTGAGGTTGCACTTGGCTTATATACCCGAGTCAAAGTGGTTGGCTTCCTTGCGAGGCCCATGGCAGGGCCACCGCAGGGCATCCAGCAGATCTTTGAGCGTAATCAGGAGGCGCGGCCAAGAACCGGAGTTGTTTTCCTCAAGTGGCTGTGGTTGTCAAAAATAGGGTAACCCCCAAATGGCCCCGCGGTCCATATCCTGGTGGTTTAATTTTGACCCATACCCAAATCTCTGCGAAGCTGACGCCAGAAAAATCAGACCTTTTTAACTTGTGCTTCTGGTGGTGGCCAGAACCAAAATGAAGGTTCATTTTTTGGAAACTATAGTTTTGATCGCTAGTATTTCATGCGAGGCAGCACCGGGAAGTGGGCAGGGTTGACTAATCCGAGGTCAATATAGGCTGGGTACAGTTCATCGAGGTGCGTGCAAATGATTCAGCCATGAAATGTTTGTTTGACTTTAGTTCGACTAGAACTCCAAAGAATCACCCTTGCCACGTGGCATCTTGGACAACATTCACCAAGAGAAGGCTGTGCGGGATGGTCAGAAATGCATTCCTCACACTCACCGTTGCACCAGCCAACGAAGGGAACTGTTGTTCTAGCTGGTGTGTTTGTCCACATTAACATGGGGCTAGAGTTTGTTCAGAGGGAGAAAACCAGCCCTCATGGTAGGACATGGGTCTAGTCAAAAGGTTTGGGCAGTCTACTAAGTTTCCAGAATTCTCGGCATGGATGCAAACTGATGGGGGCATGTCCAGTTGCTTGCCACGAGAGTCAGATCGGCCGGGATCCATGCTGTTCATGCCTAATAGCTGAGTCAACCGTGCAGAAGGTTCCTCTAACCTGTTCAGGGCATTTTTGTTTTGAAACCATTATTGCTTTGGCGGTTGCGATTGGCCGGTCGCCGGAGTGTTTCTCAGGCGACCATCTATGTGGGAAATCTGGATCCCAAGATCGATGAGGAGGCCTGATGATATGGCCTCAAATTGTTTAGTGGGGCAGATGATCAGTCCACTGTGCCCAAACAAGGGTTCTTTGAAATGCAGTCTAGTGTAGTCAGGAGCATTGGGTCGTAGGGATGACATCCCTTCTGACCGAGCACTCAATTGGCAACGTTCCGGCGCCTCCGCCACACATTGTTCAAATGGCCAAACGATAACCTGACAAAGACTGCGCTCTGTGATTCAAGGACCACCTATTGGCAGTGAATTGGATGTTTCTGGCAGTACACAACCTTGCTAGCCAACTTGCGCGCCCGCCCGTTTGTGTATGTGTGTGGTGTGTGCGTGGTGTGTGCGCGTGTGTGCGTGTGCGTGTGCGTGTGCGTGTGCGTGTGCGTGTGCGTGTGCGTGTGCGTGTGCGTGTGCGCGCGCGCGTGCGTGCGGGCGTGCGGGCGTGCGGGCGTGCGGGCGTGCGCACGCGCGCGTGTGTGTGTGTGTGTGTGTGTGTGTCTCTGTGTGTCTGTGTGTGTCTCTGTGTGTCTGTGTGTCTGTGTGTCTGTGTGTCTGTGTGTTTGTGTGTTTGTGTGTCTGTGTGTCTGTCTGTCTGTGTGTCTGTGTGTTTGTGTGTCTGTGGGTCTGTGGGTCTGTGGGTCTGTGGGTCTGTGCGTCTGTGCGTCTGTGCGTCTGTGGGTCTGTGTGTCTGTGTGTCTGTGTGTCTGTGTGTCTGTGTGTCTGTGTGTCTGTGTGTCTGTGTGTCTGTGTGTCTGTGTGTCTGTGTGTCTGTGTGTCTGTGTGTCTGTGTGTTTGTGTGTCTGTGTGTCTGTGTGTTTGTGTTTATTTGTGTGTGTGTGGGGTTATTTGTGTGTGTGGGTGGGTGCGCGGGTGCGTGGGTGGGTTTGCGTTTGTGCTTGCATTTGCGTTTGTGTGTGCAGAGTCACTAAGGTTTCTCTGACTTGAGGCTGTTGCTCTTGCTGCAGCATTGCCAATGAGCCTCAATGTCCTGTGTCAGCTTAGAATTATTGAGCTCTCAGACCAAGATGAGCTCCAGTAAGATCCCTTTTGTTTGGGATTTCTTAGTTAGGTTTGTAGCTGTTAGTCCACGGCCTTTGGACATACCTAGCGCCATTGTCGTTTTTTACATGCTGGCTAAAGTACCTGATGGCTTTTCTTGGATTCCGAAAAAGGTCGGTTTTCCTTTCACTAAGACCAGTGGCGAAACGTCCCCGTTTTCCTCGCACGTGTTTGTGCCCAGATCCTGTGGGAGCTCTTTTGCCAGTGCGGGCCAGTGGCAAACCTGCACCTGCCCCGCGACAAGATCACCACCACCCACCAGGGGCACCCGCCTCAGAGTAGCTGAGACCTAGGACCTAGGCATTGGAACCGGACTCCGGTTTTGGTCTTGATTCTGGATGTGTTCGAGGGCCACTCTTTGGGCTTTGCTTGCAACCACCCCCAGCGTATTGAACAGAAATACACACCCACAAACACACAAACACACGTGACACCAGCCTTGGAAGGGGTGCCACATGTTGAGAGCAACAAGAGTCAGCGTGCACCTCGAAAATCTGCAAACGCAGGAAACAGCATTCCCCCGTATTGTTTTTGTGTTTGTGCGTGTGGTGGAGTCGTGATGATAGCTTTTGAGAAGACCTGGGCGAATTGCAGCCGCTGCACAAGCACATGAGGAAGGTTCCTTCATTTTGTCTTGGGTTGGCAAACTTTAGATGGTTTTATATATTGATGCGGGATCCCCAGCTACGATCCTGAAGGCATTGCGCTACGGGGAGGGCACTGGTCCAAGTTTCCCACGAAAGCCGGAGGGCCACAGCGCCCAATTGTCCTCGGGGCTCAAGGTGCATGCCAATTTCCTCGAACAAGCCGCGACCCGGTTCGTCTCGATGTCAAATCAACCGCAGCCACTAGAGCTCCAGTGGCAAAGAGCCGATGCTCACACAGCCACATGAGGCAAATATAGGCAAATGGAAGCTAAAATCGAATGGATTCGAAGAGCACCCGTTTCAGCCGAGTTGTTTTGGGCATGGTTTCACCACATGCTTGAACAGCCACAACTGAGGCTTTTGTCCCGGCATCACACCGGCCACAACTGGCATTGGCATTCCTTGCCTGATCTATCCGATTTGCCTGGATGACATATGGACACGCCTTCCGGGATGGATACTTTCCGATAGGCGGGCTCCGAATTTTGCCTGGCATGAAGCCAGCCGGACAGAGAGTGTGTAAACACTATCATGCCCTAAATCAAACGTTTATACCCCACCTATAAGCCATATGTAAGGGTTGTTTTGGGGTATGTGCTTTGGATGGGCCCCATGCAACCGTAACATGCCCCATGTATAGCCACTGATTTTGGGGTCATGGTACGTCCATTTGGGCTGGGTTCTAGATTCCAGAGAGTTTCTTTGAACGAGCCGGAATTGAAACCTTGGGTTCGCGACTCACTGGCGAACCTGTTTTGCATTGCCGCCCGCAAGGCCCGCTTGTTGCGGGCTTGCGGTCATATTGGCAGATGTCCAGCATCCTTTGTCCTTACAATTGGCTCCCCTCAAAAGCTACAAGCACAAAAGGGGCGCCCTTTGTTCCAAACAAGAAATACACGAGTGCTGCTTCACCTCGGGGTAGGCAGTTGACAAGTGCACTTGAGCAACGGGCAATGTCCCCCAGACTGAACATGGACTGCGGCATGTGTATGAAGTGTAGGAAAGCGTGTGAAACAATGTAGGGACGCCGAGAAAAGCCGGATAGAAGCCACGAACTCGAATGCAGATGAATTGCCCAAAGCTACCGTGGTGTCTGTGTGTGTGTGTGTGTGTGTCCCTGTCTATCCCACCCGCCAGTTGACCTAGTGAGTTTTCTATCTATCCATCTGCCTGCCTATTCATCCATGCATCTATTTGTGCCCCGGCTGATCTACCCATCTATTTGTCTAACTATCTACTCTACTTTGCTCTGATTTATTTGTCTATTCGAATGTAATATAATCTAATCCATCTATTTGTCTATCTGTTTGACTACCTACCTATGTATCTAGCTACCTACCCAGCTATCTATATATCTATCTATCTATCTATCTATCGATCGATCTATCTATCTATCTATCTATCTATCTATCTATCTATCTATCTATCTATCTAATCTATCTATCTAATCTATCGATCTGTCTATCTATCTATCTATCTGTCTATCTATCTTTCTTTCTATCTATCTATCTATCCATATCTCTATCTAATCTATCTATCGATTGATCGATCTATCTATCTATCAATCAATCAATCTATCTATCTATATGTCTGTTTAATATATATTTCTATCTATATATCTATCTATCTATCTATCTAACTAACTAACTAATCGATCTATTTGTCTATATTTCTATCTAATCTATCTAATCTATCTATTTATCTATCTATCCATCCATCCATCCATCTGTCTGTCTATCTCTCTATCCATCTATCTATCAATCAATCAATCAATCAATCAATCAATCAATCAATCAATCAATCAATCAATCAATCAATCAATCAATCAATCAATCAATCAATCAATCAATCCTATCTATCTCTCGATCGATCGATCGATCGACCGATCTAATATATCTATCTATCTATCTATCTATCTATCTATCTATCTATCTATCTATCTATCTATCTATCTATCGATCTAATCTATCTAATCTATCTAATCTTTCTAGTCTATCTAATCTATCTAATCTATCTAATCTATCTATTCTATCTATCTATCTATCTATCTATCTATCTATCTATCTATCTATCTATCTATCTATCTAATGTATCTAATATATATATATATATCTATCTATCTAATCTAATCTAATCTAATCTAATCTAATCTAATCTATCTATCTATCCATCCACCCATCCATCGATCCATCCATCCATCTTATCCGTCCATCCATCTATCTATCTCTCTATCTATGTCTCTCTCTATCTCTCTTTCTCTCTATCTCTCTCTCTGTATCTCTTTATGTATATTTCTATCATTCTATCTAGTTTATTTGTATATCTCGGTACCTACGTATGCGTTTTTTTGTTTATCTATCTATCTTCCTATCTCTTTGTTTTTTTTTTTCTTCGGTCTGTCTGTCTATCTGTCAGTTTTTTTTTTTTTAAAAAAAAAAAAAAAATCTGTCTACGACTCTGTGAGTCGTGCTTCAAAGTGCGCCTGTCGCGAAACTCAACCCGTCGACAAAGTATTGTGCCGGTCACAAAATCAGCACGTGCTGCACAACATCAGCACGCGAAACGCCCAAGTACGCCTGCCACGTGAATCAGGCAACGGTGACAGGTGCTCCAAAGTGCTGCGCCTGCCACACAATTCAAGGAACGACCCTCCAAAGTGCTGCGCCTGCCAAGAAATTTGATCGCAGTGCTCCAAAGTGCTGTGCCTGTCAACGAAAGTGAGCTTCCTAAAGAAAAGCGCTACATGTACCGCGCCTGTCACGAAATCCAATTTTGGCACGTTTGCGTCGCATGTCAGACATTTGCACGGGACTGCAGTGCCAGAATGATTTCGACCGATCCTGACTATCATGAAGCTCGCCACAACGAGCCGACAGCACAAAAAGGCCACGAGAATGCCACTCGGACACATGCTTGCACGCGCCTGCCAAGCAAGACAGCTCAAAACCATTGCCTGTGAATCGCAAATCAAAATGGCACGGTGACATAAACGCGCAATCTTTCAGTACACTGCGCCTGCGCAGCACAACTACACGCAACCTCGCAAGAGCTAAGATTTGCACACACGCGCAACCAAATCACCATGTTGCAATTTGAGTCATGCAAGTCGCACATTCTGAGCCTTCACCAACGGCGCGGCGACTTTCGCCACCTGGACGCTTGCGAGCGCTTGCAAACACTTGATGGGCGCATGCTGACCCCCAGGCCCCTTTCTATCGGGAAACCCTTCTGCATTCGGGAAAAACAATAACGTGAATTTGGGGGTGGCCAAATTGTAAGGGCACGTCGCCAGATTGTTAGGTTGAAAGTAGGTGGCACAACCCCTTTATGGGAAAGGGGGATGGGAATTGTGCCATCTACTCTCACCAACATATGACGTTTCGAGCCGGAGCTGCCAAAGTCTTGCCAGGCGATCGAGCTCACATCGTGCAGGTGGGTTCGCTCAACTGCCCACTCGTCGGCCGGCTGATTCTCGAATTTGTTAGTGGGCAACAGGCTGCCTTTGTGGGTGTTGGTTTTGTTGAGAGATGCCAAACGCACGGTCAGTCATTGGACTGTTAGCTCTCGCTCAGTAGATGGCAGTAGCAGGCATCAAACTACTCAACCAGGAGTCGAGAGCCAAAGCTCGCCGAGTTTACGCTTTGTCTGCCCGGTCGCCTCTGCAAGCTTTCTGCGGTCAGAACTTCCCGGAGCACCATCCTCTATACTTCCCGGCGCACCTTCCCGGCCTCAAACGACTGCTTTTTTTGGTGGCTGTGCGGCGCGACCTTGTTTGCTCGTACCATTGTCTAGGGAACGACCATTTTCTTTTCAAACGTGCTGAATGCCTCTACATGCTGCTCATGTATACAGGTTGGTGGACACTATGCAACTTACCTGCCAAGGCCTAACGCCGATGCGACTTGAAGCCAGCCTCAATCGGAGCATAGACCAGAAAGCTAGAAAAAAGCTACAAGCGTGTGCTTTCGCGCAACGCATTGAATGTGTCGCATGGGATTTCAGAAGCTCATGTTAAGCTCATGACTTGGGCTTTCGCAAATCTATGAGTTTCAATAGCATGGCGTGGGCTTCCACAAGCCAACGCCTGCCAACGCCTGGGCTGTCACAGGCCCTTGTGCATCATTTGAGCATGATGCTTAGGGCCTATTTGGACGCCAGTTTGAAACTGGACAGTTCGAGCCTAAGGATTCCAACTCAAGCCTCTGCATGCAAGGCCCGCGTCGGGCTTGCCACAGGAACATTTGATTTGCGCGAAGATGGCAATCGTGCGCGTGTTGCCGGGTGTTTGCGCCAACGCAAGAGGCTATTGTGGTGCCCCACACAGCGTGCTGCTTGCTTTTTGACAGGCTGTGAGCCGTTTTTGTTTGAACAAGTGCATGTTTGACAAAATTGGGTGTGCAGCAAATTTTCATGCTGCGACGATGTGTGTTGTGTTTTAGTTTCTTCTTTTCATTTCTTTCTTTTTTGCACGGCTGCTTTTTGTGCAATCAACGACCTTTGTTTCTGTTAAACGCCTGTTTTTTTATTACTGGAACTACGACCTCTTACGCCGACCGTTTTTTTTGTTTCTCACGCTGCGACCATTTCTGTGATACATTGCGATCGTACTTTTCCGTACGAACTCCGTACAAAATTCAAACAAGACCACACAAAACCGAACAAACAGTACAAAATCGCACAAAGCCATACGAAAGCGCACAGAGCCGTACCGTGTCCAGGGTGATACTCATAAACACAGGGGTTTGCGCGGGCCTGCGAACGCTTTGCAAGTTTTGATCGGGTCAATCGCTTGGCTTTACTCGTACCATGGCTTCGCATGTTTGCGCCATTCCCGTATGTGTGTGTGTGTGCTGAGTGATGTGTGTGTGTGTGGCATTTGTTTGTTTGTCTGTGTGTCTGTGTGTTGCGTGGGTGTGTTGCTTGTGTGCGTGTTGCGGGCAGGCAGGCGTTTGCGTGTGTGTGAGTCTGTGTGCGCATGTGAATTCTTGCTTGCGTTTGTGTCCCCAGTCTGGAGAACAGAGACAGGCCGAGGCCGATATTTCAATGCACACGCCTGAGTGCGTTCAGCGGCCTGCAAAGCCATGAAATGGAAAAACAAGGTGTGCCTGTGAAGGCCTGCTGATCGTTTCGCACGTATGCCTTTGAAAGCAGCAATTATTTGCAACAAGGACGTGCGTGCTGGTTTTGTGTGTGTGCATGCTTGGCTTCAATGCAAATTCTGCCACGCTATATTTATATCACAGCGGTGTTGGGGCTGCAGCTGCCGTGATGCTGGTTTTCGGTCGAATGTGGGATGCGGGAAATACACGTTTTCGCACCGCGACCTTTTTTTGTCGTGCGACTTAAACAATGGTTTTTCGAACCGCGACCAAAAAATCGGCAGCCTTTTGAGGCCCCAGGTAGGCAAGGAAGCAGATACGCAAGATTGGATGCTTCGCAAGCATGCGCGGCCCACAAGAGGAAGCAACACAGCCAAGCACAGAGATGCAGGCAGTCATACAAGCGCTGGCCAACATGCCTGCATCGGCAAAACAAGACGGGAATGCAAGCCGGCCATAGCCCAACTTCACAGTTGAACACGTTTGAAGCTGAACTGTGGGTGCTTGACATACCCTTAGGAGAATGCCGGTGTGAGCGAACCCGAATGTTGGGGTGCGTGGTGCATGGTTGCGATGAACAGAGTGACATCGGATGTCCTTGCCCTGCTTCAACCCCTCCCCCGAGGCTACTCCGCTGGCGCGTAGAAGACGAGTGATCGATGAGCGCGCGTGCAGTTGGGGGTGTTGCAGGAAGTAGCGCAGCTCCCCCTTCCCACCCCCACCCCCCCCCCCTTGCAGCTGATCGAATTGACATGATATACTGTACGTGCTGGTGAAACGGCAAACAAGGAGTCCTGCGGGACGGAAGATTTGTGTATGCGTGTTTCTTTACACATGTAAATTGCAAGTCATGGATTTACTATCAGTGCGACTTGCCGCAGGCCCAAAGGCCCAAAGAAGTCCCAGCGCGGCGGTCGTTTCATCGCAGTCCTTTGGGTCCATCGAGCGCAGGTTGGATTGGGCGACAACCGTACCTTCCTCCATGAGCTGACAGGGGGCAAGACAAAGGCCGACGTGAGGTGGCCCCTTGACTCGAGTCCGTTGCAACCAGCGGGTTCCGCCAGCGTTTGATCTCGGACTAGTTAGATCCGGGGCCCATGTCCAGGATGGCCATGCACTCCTGTTCTCCTGATGCAATCGGGGCCAGCGGATGAAAAAACATGAGTATTTCACAGTTTCAAGGCTCATGGACTGCTGAGCCATGCTTTGGTGTTTCTTGCAACACCACCCTTTGGACCTGATTGCTGTTTAGAAGGCTTGGGCACGGGTTCGAGGGCGACGCCCTGAGGCTTTTGTCCGCCTGCTCCTCGCGGAAGGATTTCCTTGGGGTGGCAGTGGAGCCCGTGTGGAAACACTTCCAAGCAGCCAGGCCCATTGGATGCGACTCGCAAGTTCATGTCGATCCCTGGTCCGTGACCTCGTTGACGCCAGTACACATGGGCCTGAAACGTAATGTTTTTAGTTGTGGCGGGGGGTCAAAAAGCTGAGGTAGTGCTTGGAATGAAAGTTGTAGACGGCCTGAAATGCAAAGGGCTCGGGGGCTTCGAACCGAAACGAGCAGCAGGGACTTTCCCCAACGCGGTCCGGGCACTTTTGGGTCACAGCATGCATCTTTTCCACGAAGCAGTGCATTCGAAGCGCTTGTTTTTTGTGGGATCTTAATGTGTGTAAACAAAACAACCCCCCTTTCCGTCAACCCCTCCCCGACACCGTACCTCCAACGTGTTGTAATCCAGAGACCCAGCTCCAAGATAGAACGCGTGTGGCAACAACAAGCGGAGACTCTGGTGCAACCACATGTGCAGCTGTTGACCCGCATAAAAGAAGGTGTCCTTTTGATTGCCCCTCGAAAATAAACAATCCGCAATTCGCGCGCATTTAGAGAATCCGGGTACCTGTGAAGGATGGTGAGACACGCTTCCACTCTTCTGTCATGTTTTGGGCGAGCTTTCCTCCAAACTCAGCCAACGAATCCGTCCTGTTTCCCCATGGGCAAGGAGGCTTCAGGTCACTCGGTCTCATTTCACAACTCGTCCACCTTAAGCATGTGTTCTGGGGATTGCTGGTTTGTTTCCTGCTTTGCGGGAGAGAAGATCAGTGTCCAAAAGCAATTGACTGCAGAATGGATGACCATAATCTCCGCCAAGCCGATCGGCAAAGCGCCAAACAAAGGGTTTTGGTGGAAACTGATTACACCAAGTGGTTGTTTTTGATTCAAATGCATTGTACTACGGTTTTGCATGGTTTCAATGGTTGGACCTTGTCCAGGGTTCTGAATTGTTCTGGGTTTTGACGCTGTTTGTGCCGGAGTTTCAGACAGTCCTAGCTGAAAGCCAAGCAAACGCTTGCTCAAAAGGCTTCAGTGAGCAAAGCATGTTTTCCAACGAAGTCTGCTCTGAGAGTGTGTTTCTACTTGTTGAGCATTTGCAGCCAGGCAAGATGGGCATGTGTCAAGCCAAACAAACAGCACAAGTTTTACCAACTTGTGACGTTTTGGACAATGTTTACTCGCAGGTTTGTTCAAAGTTTCCCAGTGGCGCAGGAATTTGGCCTGGCGGACGGATGCGAGCGTCGCGCTCGTCCAGGCCAAAGTTTGTAGGCTTTGATCTTTGTTGGCAAGCTTCTTTTTGCTGCTTGAACAAAGCGCCCACCACTCCTATTTGAGAGTGGTATGGTCACAAGCCGGAGCTCCCTCTCACTGGATAAGGGATCGCCGGCATCAAGCGATGACACCGGCATTCCGACAATGGGGTGCGCGGACCGTGTACCGAGGGCATGAGTGGGAACATGAGGCGTGAAGAAAATGGAGACAGGGTGATCTGACGAGGCCCACAGAGTCGGCAGATAAGATTTGCTTCAACATGACATTGTAGTCAAAGTGGCTGCATTGCTTGCTGGTGTTGCCAAGATTCTCGTGAAAAAAACCCTCAAGAGCAAGCAGGGCATCAACTCAATGTCCTCGAACATCATCCACACAAGTTTCTCAGGCGGTCTTTTGTTGCACTTTTTTTGTGCCCGTTGCAACCGGTGGGATAAGCTGTGAGCAGTACAAGCAGAAGGCAGCACAGGGTTTACCCAGCTTCCTGGTTCCTTCAGTACTCACGGCAACGTTGCCGCATGACACGCATGTATCACCAAGAACCATGCGTGTCCGTGCGTGCGTGTTTCTGCGTTTGCGCGCGCTCGCGTGCGTGTTTCTGTTTGTGTGTGTGTGTAGGATAGCTCGACCAGGGAGCCCCTGGAAGGACCTTGTCGCGTGTCGTGCCCGGGAGGCCGCCCTGGGCGCGGAGGATGGCCAGTGCCGAATCTTTTATGTGGACGAGCCGGAGCCAAGGGACCTGGCGCGCCTGTCCCCGAGGCGCCAAGAAACGGGCGAGCCGGGTGAAAGGTTTTTGGGGTTTTGACGTGGCTGATGATCGCAGGAGGGGGGAACCAGAAAGCCCTGCAGGCCTCCAAAACAGGACTGCTGTACATTGTGTTGTTTTCCGTAGTGGAATCGCAACAATGAAATTATATGGGCAAATCAGAAATGAGCAGCAGGGCCGAGTGAAAATTCGTCAAAGCTCCCCAATGCAGATGAAGCATGCAGTCGCCGGTTCGCGCCAGTGCCAGCTTACAGCGTCAAGCATCTTTGAGTGACATTGGACAAGATGAAGCGCAATATGCAGCGCAGTTGTTTGCGTGTAGGTCATTCGATGCCTTGGCAGAGTTGCATGACTGACCAAAGCAGTTTGGGTCCCAGCCCTGGCGGCACATCAATCACCTATCGACAGGGCCAGGGAAAACTTTGAGTGGCAGATGAGCTACCTGCGGAACATGTCCTCGGCGGAGGCAAAGTGGGGGACAGGGTTTGCTGAGCACCCTTGAACTTAGCCAGTTGTTTGTTTAGTTGTTTGTTTGTTTGTCTGTCTGTCTGTCTGTCTGTCTGTCTGTGTCTCTCTGTGTCTCTCTGTGTCTCTCTGTGTCTCTCTGTGTCTCTCTGTGTCTCTCTGTGTCTCTGTCTGTCTGTCTGTCTGTCTGTCTGTCTGTCTGTCTGTCTGCCTGTGTCTGTCTGTGTCTGTCTGTCTGTCTGTCTGTCAGTCTGTCTGTGTGTCTGTCTGTCTGTCTGTCTGTCTGTCTGTCTGTCTGTCTGTCTGTCTGTCTGTCTGTTTGTCTGTCTGTCTGTCTGTCTGTCTGTCTGTCTGTCTGTCTGTCTGTCTGTCTGTCTGTCTGTCTGTCTGTCTGTCTGTTTGTCTGTTTGTCTGTTTGTCTGTTTGTCTGTTTGTCTGTTTGTCTGTCTAGTTGTTTGGTTGTTTGGTTGTTTGGTCGTTTGGTGGTTTGTTTGTTTGTTTGTTTGTTTGTTTGTTTGTTTGTTTGTTTGTTTGGTGTTTTTGTGTGTTTGTTTGCTTGTTTGTTTGCTGGTTTGTTTGTTTGTTTGTTTGTTTGTTTGCTTGCTTGCTTGTTTGTTTGTTTGTTTGTTTGTTTGGTTGTTTGTTTGTTTGGTTGTTTGTTTGTGTTTTGTTTTGTGTTGTTTTGATTGTTTGTGCGGTTGATTGTTTGCTTGTTGGCTTGTTTGTTTGCCTTGCTTGCTTGCTCGCTTGTTGTGTTTTTGCTTGAATCACGCGCATCGTTGTTTTGTTGGTTGTGAGTTGCGTGATTGGTGGTTGGCTTGTTTGTTTGTTGGTTTGTTGGTTTGCTTGTTTGTTATTGTTTTTGTTTGTTGGTTGCTTTCTTGCTTGCTTGCTTGTTTGATTGTTTGTTTGATTGGTTGGTTGATTGATTGATTGATTGATTGTTTGTTTGTTTGTTTGTTTGTTTTGCTTGTTTGCTTGCTTGTTTGTTGGTTTTTTTGAGTGTTTCTTTGTTTGCTTCTCTTGTGTGTGTGTGCGCGCATGATTTGTGCGTGTTGTTCTTGTTTGTGTATTTGTTTGTGTTTTCAGTGTTGACGATTGTTTGGGTGCCTTTTTTTGTTTGGGTTAGGCAGGTTGTTGCGTTGCTTTCATCTATACTTTGGTGAGGGGCCAGGGTTCTCTTCCAGGCAGAGCCATCACCAGAACCCGCAAGCTGGTGTCAGTGGCCCGGTTCTTTCTGCTTGGCGTTTCGGTTTTCTAGCTGCGGTCTTGGGAGCCAATCAAGGAGAGGGCGAGGAACGTTCATCGCCGGACTGACCCTTGGCATTCAGTGAGATCTGGCCAAATTATAGCGACCTCGCAAAAGGGGTTGGCGACCTCACATGAAAGTTCCTCGCTTGTGGCTTGCACTTGCGGATTTCAGGTGAGTGCGATTTGACCAGATTCCATGTTGATTGAGCCTTGGCTGACCGGTTGACCGGCTGGCGGGGGGAGGGGTTCAGCGGTTCACTTTGAGTTGTCCCCCCAATGACTTGTGGCAGTCCTCATGATAACTCATCCTTCTGAAAGCAGTGAAGCCACCATCATCCGCAGGAAATTTCGCCCCACCTGGCGCACTTCCATGGGCGATTACAGGCAGGCCTTGTAGAAAGGGCTTGCAAATGGACCTAGGGGTACAAAGAGTTGACAGCCCCTTGTTTGGGTTGTTCAATGGGCTAACTTTTTGAGACAAACTCAAATACCGCAGGAGCTTAACCTTTGCGCCTCCGGCTCTGCCAAGGGGAAAACCAGACTTGGGAAGCGACCTTTTGACCTCGTTGTTCATGTCTCTTGGCCAGAGGACAGCAATGGCAATGTGCTGGCACATAGTTTTCTTACATGTGAATTACATCTGCTGCGTGTAGCAATGGAAACAGTAAAGAAGCTGTGTGTGATGGAGGGGTGCTACGGATGCAATCAAGCTCTTTTCTGCTTATGCTTCTGTTGTTTGCAGGCCCGCGCAGGACCTTGAATAGGTGTGGTTGGTTCGCCTCCGTTTGTTCAAGTTCTCTTGCCTAGCTGGGATGTTCGTTGTTAGTCGTGGCTTTCCCTATTTTGGAAAGGCCTCCAGCAGGGATGTATGGTGGCGCTACTGATGTAATCAGGTTCTGTCCTGCTGATGATTATTGTTTTTGGCTTTTGTAATGCCCCGTGTTTTTTATGTTGATTCTTCCTTTTGAAAGCCTGACCACGACCAGCGTTTTGTTTTGCCCCTTTCTGTGGTTCCTCATTTTGTTCAAGCAGCGTTTTTCCCCAACCATAATATACTCGATTTTGTTGCTGGCTTTCTGGATCCTTGCAAAAACACACAAACAACTACTGATACCCTGGCCAAGTTGAAAAGCTGGCCAAACAACAGGCTCTTAGACAAGGGGTTGGCCCCCCACCCCGGTTTCCCCGTTTTGGGGGAGAAGCTTCCCTACAAAATCAGAAAAGAAGCCGTGTTAGTTACTCTTGTCGTTGTGATTTAAAGAATCATGAATAGGCTTGCTCCTCGCCTTCGGGGTACTCTTTCGCGCCATGGAAGTCCACTTTTGGTGAAGGCTTCCCCTCAATGAACTTCAGCCAAAAACACTTGGACCCCCTTTTCCTGTTACTTCTTCATCTCTGTTCCGGCAGGTTTCGGGTTTCGGGTTTCGGGTTTCGGGCCTTGCGCGAGAGGGCAGCCTGGGCGTGGCGGTGCCGCTGGTGGAGAACTGGGTGCCCATCATCACCTGGACGCAGCTGGCGGCGCAGGTGGGCTTCAAGGGCTGCGAGGTGCTGATCCTGGACACCGAGGCGCAGATTTTTGGACCCACTCGTGCGTGGGTCGAACGGGTTGATCGGTTTAGAGGGGGGAACCAAACGGAAAAACCTGCAGCTCCCCGTGTTTTTGAGACACCCCTGTAGGTATGTCGAGGTCCCAGAATAATTACCTGGTTAAAACCGCCCTGCGCATGCCCGAAACTCCTCGGAACTGCCTGTGCGTTCCCGGAACCCTCCTTAGGAAGTGGCACTTGCAGGAACCCCTCCTCAGCCTCGGAACCGCCCCGTGCATCCTGCCGTACGCATCCTCGGGAAGCCCCCAGCATGGCTGAAACCCTCTGTTGAAACCTTGCGCCTAGCCCCCATCAGGCAAAGACGCCAAAACTTTCAGCTGTTTGGGGGTCTTTGCCCTAGGATACCCTCTGGGGGAGGCAAGGTTCCGAACATTCGGACACTGGCAGTTCCTCCAGGTCCATCCTCGGCAACCATCCAGCACATCTGAGCCTTGCTCAGACCCTGCGCAGCCACAGAATCTGAACTTCCGTGTGCCTCCCCCAAACCTTCCCCAGAAAGCCTCCTCCAAACCCCCTCGATGCCTCCCCAGACCCTCCTTGAACTTCCCCATAGCCCTGCTGGATCCTGGAACTCCCCAAACCCTCCTCAACCCTCTTTCAGCGCCGCCCCGGAGTATATCTGGACAAAGGCCCCATAGCTTTCAGCTGTTGGGAAAAACACAACAAGTGGGTGGTTTCAGTTTCTCTTCAAACCATGTGAAAAAGGACCCTCAAAAAAAGACACCCCCTTTTGATTGGCGGTTTTTGCTTTCAAGGAAACCACAAGCAAACCCAACCCCTTTGGTTTTCTTCGCTCAAAAAGTGTCTGCACGGGACGGTCCCGAGGGCTCCGGGGATGCGGGCGGTTCCGAGTTCTAGGGACGCATGTTGGGGATATCACCTAAGCTTATTTCAATTGGGGGTGTGGTCCACCTCATTTGACATATTCTTCCAAAATACGAGTGTGTGTGTGTAAGGTTTTCAGGGTTGTCCCTTTTCACGTTGGTTCTTAGGTTTTAGGCTACTTGTGGTGTCCCCTACTTTGGCAATAAGCAAGCGTCAAGCCCGCTTAGAAAGTGGTTCCATTGTTGTGAAGAGTTGTCTCACTTTTGGTCAAGTGTCTGGCATAGGGCTTCGATGTGGAGATCTTGCGGTCCATGATGCAGCACTGCGAGCGCCGGCCACAGGACAAGCTCGGGTCACGATCTGCTTCAGAAACTATGCCGCTTCAGAAACTATGCTTCAGAGACCAAACGGCCCGAGCCTGAAGGCTTGCTCCAGAAATCAACATGGGCTAAGGTGGTCTGTTTGGAGGAACCTGTCATAAGGCAACCTCTCGTGGGTCTGCTTTACATGTGCTTACATGTTGGATGACTCCACGCACCACCCAGCAGTAGCAAGGGCCCGCTGACAGCAAGGGAAGGAACAAGAATAAGGAATCTCGAAACACATGCACCATTAGGGTTTGTTCTTAAAGTGGCACCCGCCATCCAATCCCAGCCTATGTTGCCAATCACGTGCAGCATCATTTGCATTCGCAAGTTCACAGGGCCAACACTCCCCCCACTCCCCGCACCGCATGAGCATACTCGACCCCAGCCCACGTCTCAGCGCGAAGGAACTGCCATGGCTGATCCAGTTCGAGAGCAATGGCCTTTGCAATGCTAGAGCGGGGTACGACTGTGCGCCTTGGCTCTGCCAGTGACAAAGCGGACACCTGCTATGCCACACCGGCAGAAGCACCTTTGTTGATCGTTGTAAAGGAAACCAGCAAACAACTGACCACAAAAAAGGTGTCGCTCTTTTGGGGGACACCCCGCTAGGGTCATGGTTTTTAGTAGGGCCAAATGTTGCGCTTGACGCCGCCAATGTCAGGAAACCGAAATCATGGAGGAGCTGGAGAGAGTCCACTATGTCTGTGTCGGAAAGGGTCGAGCAGCCCGATTCCTTCTTTGTGCATTTTATGCTATATTTGTTTCATTTTTTGTCTTGGCTGTCCAATGCATGCGACACCTTTTTCCATGTTGGGTTGGTTACCTTGAACATCAACCAACGGAAAGGGTGTCCATTTGCCGCGGCCACTCAAGCATGTCTGCCGTAAGTTTTCGGCGCTTGCCGGTTTTTCTCTGAGGACAGCTACTGCGTCCTTAAGGATGCCCTGCCAAAATCTTGGGCGCTGCAAAAGTGGCTGGAGTCGTGGTGCTGCGCAGAATGCGCCTGGCATGTGGATGGAAGCAGGTTGTGACTTTTTCATGTGTCCCCTTAAACGGGTTGGTTTCTTTGTTCTTTGTTGGCTTGGATTCGCCCATTTTGGGATAGGGCAGGGTCCAGAAATGCATGAGACCGCTTAAGCTGCCTGCTCCGGCTTGTTTTGGCCAAGCTTCTAGCACGGCCTGAGTGTGCCCTTCCATATTTTGAAGCCCTCAAACATGGCAAGCAGATAGCCAAAGTGTGACAGGTTGATTAGACAGGCGCAGGTTTTGCGCAAGATCCTCTTAGTGCCCAACAGTTTAAGCGAAGAGCAACGTGGAAAAGGATCTCTTTGCACCAACAGCGGCACTATCTGGTGAAGATTCCTTGAAAAAGGATGCCTTTCAGGTCCAGGCGAATGATAGTAGTCAATGAGTGCAAATTTACTCCTTTTGGCCTTTTGGGATTCTGTTTGCTTCAAACATTCAAGTGGGCAACAATAATGCCAAGCGCAAATCGATGAGAAACGAATCCCATTGCCAAACTTCAACCAAATAATGATGTCTTTCTTGGTCGTTTCAGCTCTTGCACATCCTGAGCCTCAGACTTGAGCATCGCCTCAAAGCTCTGCATCAATGTCTGGGCAGCGCAGCGCAAGCACGCACGCACTCGCGCACACGCGGCGCGGCAGCGCACGGCGCCCTCCTGCGCTTACGCACCGCACGCACCCACGGGCTCCCGCACGGCACAACACGCTACGGCGCCGCACGCGCTCTCGCGCTCACGCACGGCACGGCGCCGTACCGCACGCAGTCATGCGCTCACGTATGGCACGGCGAGGCACGCACTGCTCGCACTCGTGCGATCACGCGCAGCGCGGTCCAATCACGAAGCAGCACGACACCGCACGCACTCGTCTCAACTACCGAATCACGTACGTAGTAGCCACATGAGTGAGCCGGAGGCACCTTCATCTTCTGCTTAGGAATTTAGGGGCCACTGAAATTCATGTCGTGCTCACCCACGACAACTCAGTTCTTGAGGGTCCTTTCTTCACCCAAATGCCTCGAGGCAATGCGCGGGACTGCTTCCCATACGTGATTACTCCAGAAGTTCTTTGCCAGAGATGCAGCAAGAGATCCCGCTGGTGGTGAGGGAAGACGCTTATGGTGATGCCGAGCCAAGGTATGGGGCCTGAATTGGGCTGAACCAATTCGATTGCCAATGGCTGGCACAGAAGGCTCGAGGCGGATGCCTTGAATTGCCGGCAGATTGCCGGCGCACCCTTCGACTATTTTTGACGCGCCACAAATGTGGTCTGCGCTTGTGGCATTTAGCGTCCGATGGTCCCCAAAAAGGAACCCACACGCCGCTTGCGGATCTTCGAGAAATCGAGCTTTCACTTGGTGGCCGTGCTGAGGTATGGCTTTGTAGAGTTCAAGAATGAGGAGGATGCAGACTATGCCATCAAGATCATGAACATGATCAAGCAGGGCCTGTGTGATGTCTTTGTTCATCCCATTGATTCGGAAAGCAAACAATGACATGCTATCTGCGGATTGGTCCATGCCCCAAAGGCGATTTTATTCTGGCGGCCCAACCGAGAAACATTAAGGAATCTTGGCGTGGTGCTGGTTGAAATACCCTCCAACGTATGTGTGTCTCCAAATAGGAAAACTCCAGCATTGACTTTGGTTTCCCTTTGGTTTCCCGTTCACATAATCTCGAAAAGGGTACCCCAACGCTGAAACAAAAGCAACACACCGGCTCACGGGGCACTCGATCTGCGTGCGCCAGGTTCTTTGGAAAGCCCATTCGCTGCAACAAGTCCTCTCAGGATAAGAAGACCAACGAGGACGGAAGGGAGCCTTGAAGTCCCATGAGTCGATCCCCACTTGACTATAGACTCTGGCAGGCTGCAAGAACGAAACAGGCACCCTTTGTAGTGTTGGGGACTTGCCACCCAATTGGAGGGTCCCATGTGAAGTGCAGGTTGGCGCAAACCTCTTCATTGGCAACTTAGAGCCCGAGGCGAGCTCTGGACATCGTGTGCCAGGGTTTGTGATCCCCACCTCCCAACAGGTGTATGACTGCTGGGGTGCTGGGAAAAGGGTGCCCCACCCCATTCGCTATTTCCCTTGTACCGGCCAAGGGAATATGTACTGGGAGTTGGCCATGCAGGGGGCATTGAGGGCAGAACTTAGCTTGCTTGAGTAAGTTGGGCAATTTCAGTTCAATATGACCCCTGATTCACTATCTTACGGACAACCTCTCGCACGTGACAACAAATTTCAAATATTTTGCACATAGGTGGAAACAAAACCCATACTGAATCAGCCCAGGCCGGTTTGTTTTTGGGATTGAACATGCAGGGATGAGCGTTGTTGACTCTGAGTACTGGGGAATCATGATCGGTCTTTGTTTCTTACCCTCCCGTGGAACTTGCAGAGGTGGATGAGAAGATGCTCTACGACACCTTCTCCGCCTTCGGGGCAGGTATCTTAAAACGTTTCCAGAGCGCAGCAATGCCTCATGGGTCAGCTGTCTTGTCAAAGATGCTGGTGCCCTTGGGTGGACCCCGTAAGAAGAGACTTGACAAATCGCAGCACTGACACTGCGTCGAGCCCAGGCCTCGTGCAATGCTCCTGTTGCTATGACTCAGGTTTTGCTGTTCGCGAAGGTGATGCGTGACCCTGACAATGGTGCGCCATGCATGGCCACTTTCACACAGTGTCCACTTGTTCTACGCAACTGACCGGGAAATGTTTATTGGATGATGGGAGTCAATTCATTTCTACAAAGGCAGTGGCCTTTGTGGGTGCCCTTTAAATTCTCTTGAACCTGCAGGGCGGTCCCCAGACGTCTTTGTACGGCAATCGTCCACGTTGCGACCTAAGAAGGATGAACCTGAAACACTGGTTCCCCCAGAAAAAGCAAACCTGCGGACCAACAGTGCTTTTCAACACAAAGTCATTCGGACCTCCTCTTGACTGGGCAACAACACTAGGCAGGGGTTGATCAATCCTTTGTCTCTATTTTACGGGACTTCCAGTTGTTGTTTGTTCGCGAGTGCTTGTGGGAGGGTTGGGCAAAGCATGTTTTAACGATCAATCCCCGGCTTCTTGAAAAATATGCAAGGGGGAAGATAGAAAGAGACTGTTGACGCATCTATTTTCTGGTGTACAGCAAATCTGGGGCCTTCTGAGAACATCGAGAGTGGTTCAAGATTGGTATGTTTGTCATCTGTGCCACCTCCAAAATAGAAAAGCAAGAGCAGCGTGGCATATGCCGCTGCCCAAATGAAGTGTACGAAAAGCAGAAGGGTCATAAATTTTGATTTTGGTGGGAGGGTAACATTTTGGTTTTTCACAGGCCTGTCCCGGGGCTTCGGCTTCATCTCCTACGACACCTTCGAAGCCTCCGACGCGGCGCTCGCGGGCATGAACGGGCTCCGGCCCCGGACTACCGAAATCTTCGCGGCCTGCCCCATCCATCGCGTGTAAAGCGGGACCCCCAAAGTCGTGGTCTTCCTTTCGGTTTCCATCAAACCAGGACCGAAAGCCCTCGACAAAATCAGACACATTAGATGGCGTTCCATTTGAAGGGCTCCAACATTGTCTTCAATACCAGATTCATAATATGAGAATGCAGCTCTCTGGCACGGGGGCACAGGGTTCCCACTGAATCCCTGAGAGCACGCAAGTTTGACGATCAATTCCTGGCGCAGGCAGCGTCCTCAAGCACCCTCCAAGCCGATTGGATTTTGGATCACCGCGATTTCCATTGTGGGGGGGGGGGGGTTCAACGCGTCACGGCCAATCGGAGAAGCCTTTGTGCCTTGCAAGCTTTGCGACAGCCTGGCAGATGAACTAGGCAGTGTTCCCCCACCCAAACGAGAAGTGACGGAATGCCTCCAAAGCTGGACACCCCATAGCAACCTGGGTTCCTGGGTTCCCCTTGGATTTCCGGCCCGTTTTGAGCTGCAGGCAGTTCTTGTGCAACAGACCCATCAGCGTGTCCTACGCCTACAAGAAGGAGACCAAAGGAGAGAGGCCGGCACACCGGACTCCGAAGATGGTCAATATTGTGACCACTAGAAAAGGGCATTCGGAGATTTCCATGATGCCAAATCGGTGCTCAATTTTTGGCCCAGTTGCTAGTGTCTTCAAAGCGCTACTTGTTGCCATTGTGGGCAGCTACTTAGTTCGTTAAGCTGCATCGCTTGGCAGCCGCATTGCAGGAAGGTCTCCACAGCATGGAAGTCGCACCGTTTGGGGACACATGCAGTATGAGAAGCATGGCCATTCGTATGGGTCCCCGGTCATTTTGCAGCAGCTGAAGAAGATGGTAGCCCTCTACGTACCAACGAGGGGTATGTAAGAAAATTAAGGGCCTGTACCAACGGAGCGTGAATGCTTGGAAACTACTCTTTTTGCAGCTGTGTGGCACTTGCTTTGTGCAGCACCAGACTCACAATGCTAGGAGTGATGCTGCGTAGCAACTCGCTGGTGGTGCTGGTAATAGCGGTAGTCGTGGGAATGAGGTGTACTCGTACTGGTAGTGGTGGTGGAAGCGGCAGGGGTAGTCCGATTGGTAGTGATATTGTAGTGGTCATGGTAGTTGTAGTCGCAGTCATAGTCGTCGTTGTTAGTCGCGGTCATCTGGAATAGGCGGGGTATTGGTCAACCTCTTTCCAACTTTTCAAACATGATTTCTGTCAAACGTTACACAAATTGCCACCGATATTGGTCGGCACGCAGTTATATCTGGGGTCCCACATACAGCAAAGTTAGTGGTTATGAATGAAAATACGGACCTGGGGTCTATTCGGGTACATACTACATAAAGCTTGTCAGTCTGGTATGTCCAAGTATGTAGGACCTTAGATCGGGCACTCCTTCGTGAGCCACCAATCGAGTGTTGGAACTTGATTAAAAAGCCCCCCCCTCAAACAATGGAGGCACTAGAATTCTGTAGGCTCACTTTTGGGACGTCCAAACAATGGAGGATTTTGGGGCCCAATTCTACTTTAGTATTATATTGCGGCCACTTTATTTTTGCAATTCTACTTTAGTATTGCAACCACTTCTTCCTGAGCAGACTTTTTGGAATACTACTTTAGAATTGCAACCACTTCTTCCTGAGCAGACTCTTTGGAATAGTACTTTAGTATTGCAACCACTTCCCTTTCAGTTCTTTCTGCAGCCATTCAAAGGGGAATGCTTTCAATTAAGCAAGTGGGCCACGAATTGAAAGGGGAATGCTTTTCACCATTTGAAAGGGGAATGCTTTTAAGTAAGTCGGCCACCAATTAAAAGGGGAATGCTTTGCGAGTAAAGCAAGTGACAGTTTATTTTCTGGAGGGGGGCTGGGGGCTTGCAACTAGTGTGGTCCCCCTAAACAATGCCATTGTTGTGGTTCAGTGGGGTCTGTGAGGGGTACCTTTGTCCTGATTGTTGTTGTTTTTGTTGCTGTGCTTTTTATGTTTTTTTTTTGAACACGGCTTAATAAAGAATTTGCAGTTTCAGGGCTGGGGATGGCTTTCACATTTCAGAGGTTTCAGGTATTGTTGGCATTTGGGTGATTGTTTGGGAGGATGGTTTTTAGATTAAAACTGATTGTGGATATGTTTTGGATTTCCCCCCCGGGCAAAAAAGCTTTCAATTATTCTGGTCCCCATCAACAATGGGGGCGAACCACAATAAGGAAAACAACTTTGCATTATTGACTATCCCAGAATCGGGTGCCAGCATTACATCAGTCTACCAAGGGTTTACATGTTAGCGCTGCCAGAAAAAGTGAGCTATCCTATGTTTGACTGTTCTCATTGGTATCCTGCAAGAACTATTCCCCCACCTTGCTTTCCGTGAAGGAAGCATTCGACTGGTTGAAAAGGGCATCTGGCTTTCCTAGCATTGGGCACGGCTCCGTGTCGCTTAGCAGGCACGGCTCCGCCGCGGAGCGCCTCATTGCCGCCAACCGGCCCAAGGCGTGTCAGTTCCGGGGTCTGTTGCTTTTGGGGATTCCAATGCCTTGTTGGGTCCGCTGGCTGGCTTTCAATGCGGTTTGTGTTTTGTTAAAGACGCTGATAATGCCTAAATGGGGAGGTTGTGCCATCTACTTTCACCCATTTGTACAGGAAACCAAAAGGTGGCCATTCGAATCCTCCAAGTACTTGCCAAATGGAAAGGAAGGGCCCACGCCGGCTGCAGCGCCGGGGCGGTCGGGCGCGCCTGCTATGCGGCCACCGATGATGCCGCCGGGCATGCGGGGGCCCCGAGAGACCTGTGTCGGTTCCGCACTCTTTGGGTGTGTGTGTGTGTGTGCGTTTGTGGTTTTTGAGGGTATTCTTGTCAGGTTTGTTTAGTGGGAAACCAAGAGGAAAGCTCCACAAAGGGTTCGCTTTGTCTTCCAGGGCTGTGACATGAAAATTCGGGGACCCTTTTGGGAGGACTAACAAGGTCGGGTATTCAACCCAGAGAGGCTGTGAAGGGCTTGCGTTGTTCTCCGGGAGTGGACGCACCATGGGGGTTATCATTTGACAATAGGATTTGTACTAGTCTGGCGGAACTACCGGAGCTCAGGCCCCATGGTGAAGGTTTATCTCAGGGATTCCATGCTTTAGGATGGTGAATTGATTCGCTTCGCGGAGGCAATCCTGGTTGGAGAGGGTTTACGTGGGCTCGGGCAGACTCATTCAGGTTAAGCGTGGTTTTGGCTCCGGTAACGCTTAGACGTGTCGCCGGATGCCACTCCTGTCGGCCAGAAGAGGGTTTCTCACGAGCATTTCCTCAGGATGGGAACGTGGATCGCCACAATAACACCCAGCTTATTTGGGTTTGTTCACCTCAATAAGCCTCCGCACTGTCAAGGTCGGAGAGGTTCTGGAGAACTGCCTTGACTCATTGGCATCCTCCGCTGGCATATGTTTGGCCAATAGGGATGGAATTGATGTTTTATTCGGGCAGGACTGGCTGTGAAGGGTGGTGGCCAGTTCTGAGTTTGTCCAACACGGACTAGCAAACTTCCTGTTTCCGCTGAACAGTGTGTCGAGATCTGGAATGGCAATCCTTGGAACTTCGATGAAAGAACATCATATTGGCAGAAGTGTTGGCAGTATGGATGTTTTTTTGTTGCCAAAAGCTTCTGGGTGCCATCAAAGTATTGGCTTCAAGTGTGCCAACAGGGACAGACTTGACTAACAAGGTTGATTGATCCGAGAGAATGTGCGTGATACGTGTTTGTTCAATTTTCACTATGTTCAGGTTCACAATCTGGAGACACGCCCACATTTGGGCATGTGTGAAAATAGGGCAACCGGTTTTCCTCTTGATTTTCCTCTGAACCAACCCAGCACAAACCCACTGGTATAAACAGACTCGCCAAATCGTTTGTTTCGTGTGAGGCCGCCCATGTGACGAGGCGCTTCCTCCGTTCCGCACTGAATGCGGCTCGTGGTTGGCACCAAATGAACGGGAACCCATGATCAAACCCTTGAATAGCGGATGTCCCATTGGGGACTCCTCCACTTGGGGCGTCCCGACCCCCCATGAATCCAGGTTGATTGATCCGTCAACATTGGACCCACATCGAGGGCATCGAGGTGCTTGCAAACTGCCGGTTACGAATGGTGGGCGTGTCTTGATGTCCTTTGTCAGGGCCCGCTGTTTGAAGGAGTCCCGAATTTGCAGGAAATCACCTTAAATCGTGGTCATGCTTTGGGTTTGTCTGAAAGACCCCAACCTGGTTGGTTTGCCTTTGGTTTCCGCATGATGCACCCAAAAAGGGTACCCTCCAAAAAAGGCAGACCCTTCTCCCAGCGAGGCAATGTGATCTGCAACCGCCGCGGTGGCGTCCCGTGGGATTCGGAAAAGGGAGCGACTGCTTGCTGCGGCCTGGCGGGGGGATATGCGGGTGGTTCAACTTGTGTATAGTAAGCTGGAGCCAAAAGCATCCCAAACGAGACAACAGCAGTGCGAGAAAAAGGCATACTAGGACCAAGAACACAAGTGGAAAGGCTTTGAAACGCATCAAGCAGGAGCTGCTAAAAATAGGGCGGGTGCCAATCGCACGCACGCACATGCGCGTGCGCACGCGCGCACGCACACACACACACACACACACACACACACACACACACACACACACACACACACACACACACACACACACACACACACACACACACACACACACACACACACACACACACACACACACACACACACACACACACACACACACACACACACACACACACACACACACATCAATCACCATCACGCACGAACGCACCATCAAACAGCAGCCTGATCAGAAGAAGATCCAGGGATTCCAAGACTGAGACTGTCGTTGCAGGGGCTTCGGCGCTGCAGTTGCACATCTCGCCAAAACACCAAGACGTGCCATAACGCAGACTACAAGTGAGCGGCTTTGAAGCGTCAAAGCCAATCAAAAGGCAGCGGTGGATGTCAGTGCTCGATCAAAATCACATCCTGCAAGGAGCCTGACCCACACAGTGACGATTATATTAGGCGACACGTGCCATGTTGGAAGGCAACAACACACTCTGAAGATGTTTAGATGTCTCACGCGAGAGGTCAAACGCCTCAACGCCGAAAGACATTTTTCTCTATGAATGCAAGTGCGCAGTTTTGTTTTACCAGACGTTTTTTCCAATACGATGTCTTCGTGTGTGATTCAGCCGTTTAAGCTCAGGCTTGGCTTAGCCCCTCCCCCCCGAGCCCCCACCAGCAGTTCCGGGCCCAGTGATCCGGCTATTGCAGCGTGTCCCGTTAGTTCTTAGATCAACTGTTTGCTTTTCTCGTCTCAATATGGCGATTGTTTGTTTCCGCTCTAGGGCCAAAGCTCTGCAAAATCGGGAAAAAGAAAACAGAGGAGCCACCAAAGGGTGATGTTGAAAGCGGAATGTGTAGGACGCCTGACTGATGTTTGGGTTAGCTGAAAGGGGATAAGAAAGAGCTGATGATCATTTTTTTTCTGGTGCGAGGAATGCAAGGTCGAGTGGACCATGGTTGCTGTGTTCATTCCCTTTCAGGATCCAACAAACAGGGAGCAACGATTTCGGCCAAACACCTTTCTAATGAATATACATATCTACCGCGAACGGTTTGCGCCACCAACCAATAAGAATTGGATATGCACGAACCTCTTGAAACTACAATCCTTCCCTGAAGGTATCACTCAAGGAGCAATCGGTGCAGCAAGTGGTCACTGCACGCGTTGGCAGCTAGCATATGCCATTAATAGAATATAGAATTGGCGAGAAATCCCTCTTAGTATGTTGGTGGTAATTTGGATTCCCGTACAGCCAACGACGACCCCGCACCAGAACGATGCACCTGAGCACCACTGTTTGGTGGTAGCCAACCAAGTCATCAGCACATTGGCCGTGGGTACTCGAAACTGCTTCGCATGGAACCACAAAGGGCACGTTGGCAAGCAGAAAGGTTCGCCGCTGCTTCGGTGTGTTCCACATTTGATCTTTCATGGAGCCTTTCCTCAAAATTCGATGGGAGACGTGGGTCCGAGCACTTCTCAGGTTCCCTGCCAGAATTCAGTTCGCCTGGCTGTGCTTAGGTCGGCCGTTCCGAATGTGTGAAGGCAGGGCTGATGGCCAGCGCCTGAGTCGCTGAGTCGCTCCGGGTCCGTTGGGTTTTCACTTCCAACCCCCACTGCCGGGAAAAGGGCCAGGGGTTTGAGTATTTCATAGTATTTCTCATGTTTTGAAGCTTAAGTTTGCTATGCTATTCGTTTCCTTTTGCACCTTTTGACCTACAAAAGGGACTTACTCTTGTTCAAATGGGAGTGTTACTCCCCGCCCCGCCTTGAGTACATCGATCTGTCAGGAAGCGGAGAAGGCTGTCCTGGGGAGGTCAAGGACAGGGAAGATCTTGTCAGCCTGGAGCGCCCAAGCTGTGTCAAGCTCACGGGAAGAAGCAATCAACCAAGCCTATAGGGGGTCCCCATGCTCCGACTTCAGGGCCCAGACGCCTCTGAAAGATTTTAAATATCTCACATTTGCACAAGGAGAAAGCCAAGGCAATATTCAGGTCATTTGCGGCTTGTGCGGTGGCCTACCCCAGTTTCTCTCAGAACGACCAAGAATCCCTTGAATCTAAACCCACCATCCCAAAGCACCTTCAGAAGTAAGCTGAAATGTAGATTTGTTGTTTGTTGTGTGTTGCAATGAGTCGCAGCACGGCGGAGCAGAGTGTGAAGTAATAGTGACATCGAGAGATTTGGCCATGAGAGCTGGTGTTGTGTTGCTTGTGAAGATTGCCGTGGCTCAGTTGTCGTTTCCCTTTGGACTATTGTGAATCATAGGCCCCCAAAAGGTGAACGCGTGTTTTCTGTCCTTTAGGCAAGATGCTCGCCGAATTGTAGAGATTGCTGGCATGGCAGGAGTGCTATGAAAGCCACAGAGGCCCGCGGAAGCATGTACCATTGACTTGTGTGCCAATAAATAACATCCTCTGTCTTTTGCAACATCATCCCAGGCCCCCTGCCGCAATTCCCAAAAAACAAGCTTTGCTCGTCTAGAGTCTAAGGACTTTAAGGAGAACAAGGGGCCGGGGGGATTCCTCCGCGGAGCCATCCGTGCTCGATCCACAGGCGCTAATGGCATTCCTTCAGGTGCCGGGCCCTCAGTCGGCCGCTTGCCATTGGCCGTGCGACGCAGGGTGTGAAGGGTCCACTGCAGCACTTACGCATTGCTCATGTCTTGGTGTTGAGCTGACAGCGATCTGGTTCAAGTCAAGTCTCCAAGTCATGGTTGCTTACATGCGCCCGTTGTCAAAGTTCACATGCGAGCAGATGTTGCCCTCCTGCAAATGAGTCTGGAACGCCCTGCCCCACTCCAACACAAAGCTCTAGTGGAAGGCCGACAAGAAGCTAACCCTTTCAGGCAAGCTGTCATGGATCGAATAAAAGGCACCAAGAAGGCAGATGAACAGGTTGAGGTCTGGGACAGCGGGGTCTTCCTCATGTTGACCTGGTCGATCAGGAGGAGCTCCCGGGTGAGGTTGCAGGTGAATCTGACTCAATGAGCCAGACACTCAGCGGAGACGGCATGCCCTCAAGGTTGGGTTCCCACTCAAAGAGTTCTTTCGCATCTTTGATTCCCCGCAACTGGAGATGTGATTTTCTATCTGAGTCTTGAACTTGTCTAAGTCACACCCCAAGTGAGGCGGGGATGTGAAACAAAGCTCCTGGGACCAAACGTGGAGATCCGATCCAAGCCAGTGCACTTTCATATGAGCAACAGGCTAAACTCTCCGTTACTTCTTTATGCATTCGGGCGATTTAGCGTGAGGAAATCTATCAAAACCTTGTAGGACGATATAGGGAACCCCCAAAAACGATAAAACATGCTTTCATGATGTGGCAGACGATGCTTGGAGCGTCTCGCGTTTGGCAGTTTTTGTTGTGGCCCAGAATCCCAACCATCATGTCTGCGCCTCCTGACGCGCCCAGCATATGTGAGATCGGGCCCTGCGGCCACGCAATGCTATTTGTTCCGCGAACTTTGGCAAACACATACCTGCCCAAAACGATAACCGAAACGATGACGAAACGATAAGCAGTTCATTCGGAAAATCGTCTTCGTGAGCAGTTGCCCAGAACGGTAGACTCGTGCGCACAGTTTCGATTTCTGCGTGCTGCGTGCATTCGTAGTGCGCCATGAGTGATGAGGAGGCTCTCAAGCTTTTGCGAAAGGAGGCTTTCAAGGACTCCGATCTGCCTGGAAGCAGTGCCATCTGGAAACTCACGCTTTCCCGTACGCATCTCCAACTGCCTCTTCAGAAGCTCGCTCGAAATCAACTGCTTTGCTTTAGAGAAACAGTTCTGCTTTGCGTTTGTGCGTTTGCTTCGTTGTTTTATGGTAAGCCTCGCGCAGGTAACAGCGCTATCAGACAGTGTGCTCCGTACCAGATCGTCGAGCGCAAGTTGGAAGCAGAGCAACTACAGTGGAAGCGCGGCTTTTGGCAAGATCCCACATGGAGAAAACCAACGGTTGCTCTAAATCAAACGACTGAAATCATGAGGAAGCACCATGCCCGGCTGCGCATATTTCGCGGCACCTTGAAGAGCACTAAATCCTGACTTTCGACCAAATGGTCACTCGCGATGAAGACCGCTTGGTCAAGGCAAATGCCCGGAGTAAGCGGAAACATGCGGCTGCTTTGTCTGCTGACCCAATGGAAGAGTCTGAAACAGAGCTGTGAAGCCAATCTGCCGTGACAATAAAACGCCAGTGCGCGCTCTCCATGTGCCAGAAACCTGCAAAACGATATAGCGAACCCCCAAAAACGATAAGAATGAGTCCTAAATCACTTCTGTGCATTTAGGTTTTGCCGCTCGCTCATATTGGTGGACGGGTAAGTGATCGGGAACC